CAGCAGGAAGAAGGGAACCCTTCAACAACCCCTCAGAGTCAACAATAACCAACTGAAAAGCACTGATGCAAGAACCACTTGTGAGAGCAGTGACTTGATCTCAGTGCTCAAAGGAAAGGAGGTTAGTCTTGTTTAGTGATGCCCCCATGAGCATCTGCTCACAGCACAGGCCATGGACAGGCTCAGAGCCCTTGCTGGATTCCCTCCAACCTGGAACACAGCCCAGAGAGCCCCAGGAAAGAGGATCTACCCTCAAGACCAGCAAGAGCAGTGCAGCCTCTCAGTACCACAGTGTCATGAGACACCCCTCCTCTTTCCCCTGGCCTCCAGCCTACCTGGTGAGCAAAGAACATGTTATTAACGATGTCATCGTCGATCACAGATGTCTCATCCACCAGGGTAGAGACCTTCCGGCGTGATCTGCGCTCCTCGATCCACTTGAACAGGAAGATGAACCCATACACAGGGCTGCAGAGACAAGTCAGCAGCTGCATCATTCTGGATGGACTACACCAGTGGGGCTTCTCTGCTTAGTGCCAGGAACCTTCTGTTTCAAACCACAGGCTGAGCAAAACCAGAACCACCAGCCCCATCTTTCTGGAAGTGACCATCCATGCCACAAGTCCCCCAGCCCGACCTTACAAAGGACACTCTCCTTTGCTAATGCTCTGTGCTCAAACAATCCAGTTTGAAAACTTTGGGGCTTGACAAGTCTTAAGAAGTTGAAGACAGAGAAAATGAAGGTGAAATTCAACTCCATGACCAAGGAGGTCCTTCTGAACTCCTGGAGATGGGTTCCCAGGCCCGCACACATGTTCTGCTTAATAAATCTCATTGTTTCACACTTATCACTTACCCTTGGCATTTGCTCTGCAGATCGTAAATCTCTTCAACCTGCACCCCCTTGACCCCTGCAAACAAAGGGCAGAAGCTGGTGTAAAGCCCACCAGAAAAGAACAGGGGTAACATCAAGCATGAAACTGACTTCCCAGGAAGGTGACCCACACTCACCAAAATCTTCAACGAGGAGTGTGAAGAGACCTGGAAAGGAACAAAACCAACAGGTTACTTCTTGCTGAAGAGACCAGAGAGGAAACCTGCTGCCACCAGCCCCTGAAGGTCCCACATGGTCACAGGCCAAGGCACAGCCGGAAAAACCACAGCAGAGCAGCACCATGATCTCACTGACTCCCCAGCAGCAGAGATGTTGAGCCCTGGCTCACGACAGAGGTGCTCTGGCTCCCTTCACCCCTCCATCCCCATTCATCTTCCTCAAGAGGACCCGAGCAAAACCTCCCCTGCCAGAGCCCAAGGAGGCTGGGCCCACCTTCAGCACCCTGACCCAGTGCAGATGACCTGCCCAGAAGTCAATCCCCACCTCAAACAGCAGCAGGGAGTACCTAAACAGCACACACACTTCTGACCAGAGGGAAATGCAGCTGAGTGGACCACAGGATATTTTAATATAACATAATTTATGTTCTTGTTAGTGAAAGCCCGGCAGGGGGAAGCCAGCTCACAGCAACAGGGCTGCAGGAAGACTCAGGGCTGAAAGGCTCATCTCTGTCTCTCTTGAGCTACCAAATGCAAGAGCCTGTCTCCAGTGACTACAAAATTTCCACTACAGAAGGACATAACCAGGGATACAGAGACAACGGCAAAGAGACCAAAGAATTATAAGACACCAGCAACTGAGCAGCAGCTCCCACTACAGTGCTGGACCAAGGGCAGTCGTCCCAGTTTTCAGGTGGTCCCCCTGCAGGCAGAGTGAGCTCGAGACTGGAATAATAAATCTGCTTCTTTGCTCCCACACAAAGACTGCTGAAGGCCTGGGAGAAAGTCCAGGGAATATTAATAAGAGGCTTCAATCCCGAGTAACATCCCTGTAAGAAAGGGAACCTGATGGAAGTGGCCCTGTCAAGAAGGGAAGAGGCCAAGGGGCTTCCTCACCAGTTAAAATTACTAAATCAGGGAGGAAGCTTCTGGGAGCAAAAAGTCTTCATTAATTTAGAAGAAAACATTGTATTTCTTACAAAATGGTGGGAAGAAGCACATTGTGGAAATAAGCTTTGGAGCAGTGACAGCCTCCCTGCCATGTTGAGCCGTCACACCCAGCCCCTGGCAGAGGGTTTTGCTCAGGGGACCTGATGTGACACTGCAGGGGGCTGTGCCATACAGGTGACATCTGCAGAGGCTACAGGCAGCACTGCAGCCTCGCTGCCTTCCTTGCAGCAACCCCTGCAAGGCAAGTGGTCCTTGCAGACCGCAAGGGTCTCCAGTGCTCCCCACGGCCACGGTTCTTGTTCCCTCTTTAGAGGTGCCTGCTGGGGGAGCGGGAGGTGCGGCTGTGGGCAGGCAGAGTCTCTCAGCTGTAAAACCTCCCGCCAAGGAGGAAAGCCTCACTTGCTCTCCAGTTTCAACTGTCACAGTCTAGTGACTGCAGCAAAACACGTGTGACAGGAGAAGACACGAACCGTGTCACAAGCCCTGCTGGGCAGGTCCCACCAGAGGGAGGCCCAGCAGGACCCTCGGGCTCGCTGTGGCTCAGCCCAGAGCGCTCCCACATCCTGGAAGCAGCTCTGCAGGAACCCTGAGTCAGACCAGCAGAGCTGCACTGGTGAAGTCCCTTCCAACTTGTGTGATTCTGTGATTTTGGTAATTCCCAAGTACCAGTAAAAAGAGGATAAAGAGCATCAAAACCTGCACTGACTGGGAGACCAACAGCAGACAGAATCCAGCTGGGTGCAGGAGGATGAGCATAATGCAAGGGGTCCAATTTTCTTCACCCCCAGCATCAAACATACACCACCACAGCCTGAAGACCAGCTCCCAGCCTCCCAGAAGACAACCACAAATGGCAACGTGGCAACTCAGACATGTTAAAACAACACTCAGCCAATGCCCAGCCTGGCCCTCGCTTTAGCCCTTTAAATCTGAACCTGCAAACTCAACTCTCAACTCCAGGAGTCTACCACAGAAACCACCTTCTCCAACGCAGTGGGAAGGGGGGGTGCCTGTGGCCATCCTGCTCCTGAATGGGCTCTTCAGCACTCTCCTGGGCAACCAGGGGGAGAGGACTTGATTCCCCCCCTCAGTTGCAAAGTGATGAGGGAATCTGGCACGCACAGGATGGAGCTGTCACTCCTGTGTCCTCCCAAGTGACAGGCACATGGGTTGTCCACAACTGCCCATGAAGTCCTGGGCAAAAACCAGTCAGAGCTGTTTCTGTAGCAAGGGGCACCCCATCCATATGCATCTCCCTGTATTTCAGCAATATTTCAGGGTGTATTTGGAAATGTCAGGAATGAATGCCTTATGCTGCCCATACCCCTGCAGCATTTCAGAAGATTTCCACAGAGAGCCCTGGGTTCATCACATCATACATACATGGGGGTGGATGAGGCACCTCAGACCCTCTGTGTAAGTGCTACCAGAGCTCTGGTCCCACTCTGAGCTTTCACAACGCTGCTGCAGCGTTCACCCCATCCTTGCCTTCATCTCACACCCATACCCTCCTGACATCCCCTTTTCTTTCTGCCCTACACCCCCACAACCTCTCCCTGACCCCCCACGGGCTATGCCTCACCCCCCCCAACCCTGCAAAGCCCCCCTTTCCCCAGGACACACACACCTGCTGCTCCACACGCCCCATAAGCCTCGCCTGCCCTCCCAACACTCTGCGCGTACCCCCAGGCACCTCCCTGCTCCCCTCAGCAAGTCTCCCTCCCTAGCCCTTGCTTGTGCCCCACATAACACACAACCCTGCCTAAGCACCCCACGCCCCCTCCTCAAACGTCACCCACACTCCCCTACCCCGACCTGTGCCCCACAGCC